CATCCATCCATCCATCCATCCATCCATCCATACATCCATCCATCCCCGGTCACTGTCACTGCCCCTGGGATGCTCCGGGCTGCCCCTGCCTTGGGAGCACCTGGAGAAGGGCAAGTCTGTAACATTCTTTACCCTGCCCACCCTGCCAGGGTACAGTAAAATTCTGTATAACTAAAATCGGGTTCTTTTGGATCAAAATGACATTAAGATAAAGAATTACTCATTAGAGAAGGAGTGTTCTCCCCATTACTGTACAAACCCAGCTGTAATTAAGCATCTGAACCGCTGTTTATAAACAGATGTTCTCATCTAAATGTCTTAGAAATAAACAGCTTGGTTATTCCAGTTTCCCCAGACTACAGAAGGAGCTACAGCTCTCCCCCAGGCTGGTGTTCTCCCACACGTACCCTAATATTTGAGTTCCCCAAATTGCAGGGGTAAGAGGCGTCTCCAAATGCAGGACATTTTCTGCAGCAGGACATTCACAGAGCAATAGTGTAAATTTCCCAGGTCCCAGCAGCACTTTGGGATTTCATGCTTTGAGAGACGTCATTGCCTTTATTGAACAGCCAGGACCTCTGCAACACCCTGCACTGGTGGCAGAGGTTTCACAGTCTCTGTGAACACTCTGACTTCTGCTATTCCAGTTCCCTTGCATGGGAAGAAGCGTTTCCTGCGAGCTGTAAATCCATTGCATCATTCAAAATGCACCGCAAGACAGTTTTGAGGGCTGCTTTAAACACATCTTTCAAAAATGGGGAAAAGCTACAATTTTTAGAACCATTTTTCATAACTTGTGGGGGGAAAATAATGTTAATGTAACATTTTGTGCATGTGTTTTGCATTTTAAAAGTAAAACAACTGCTTCCAAAAGTCAATGTGGCTGAAAAAAAACTTATAATTTAAAAAACACCAAGAAGGTATATAGTTGTGCTGTAAAATCTCAATCTTGTCCAAGCCTCTGCCAAGGCAGGGTCACCTGGGGGTGACACAGGAACGTGTCCAGGTGGGTTTGGGATGTCTTTAGAGAGGGAAACTCCAGCCCCTCTGTGGGCAGCTGTTCCAGTGCCTGCCACCTTCCATGGAAGGAAGTTCTTCATGTTGAGGTGGAACTCGTTGTGTTTGAGTTTATTGCTCCTTGCCCTGTTACTGGCACCATGAGCAGGGTCTGGCACCATCCTGTGCCAGCCCTTGGAGATGTTTGTATGGGTTGATGGGATCCCTGACCAACCCAACCCGGCTCCCACAGTCCCTCCTCGATCAGAAAGATGCTCCAGACCCCACAACATTTTTGTGGCCTCTGCTGGATGCTTTTCAGTTGCTCCTTGTCTCACCTATAGAGCAGAGCCCAGAGCTGGACACTGGCTCCAGCTGTGC